CAATATTTCCTTTGTCCAGGTCACATGATAAAGGTCTTCTTTATGATCCTAGGGTTTTCCTTAATATACCATTGATCTGTGAGCACAAATTCAAGGACCCAAGACCAGGGATATTGTCTGAAGATTTTACGGTGGTGAGACACCATTATCTTTTACTATGTTGCTTGCATAACTGACATGTTATGATAATTTGGCATTTTATGAGACTTGGTAAGCTTTCCTTGTCCATTAAAAAAAAAAAGTACTATGGAAGTAGTATTTACTGAAATGAAGAACAAACGAAATAGAGGAGCAGGCATAATGATCATGCCACTAAGAGGCTGTGACTGGAAGGAGCTGGAAAACAGGAACTCTTGCACTGGACACACGGACTATGTCCTAAATGAAACATTAAGGAACTCTGAAGTGTTTACCAATGTGCAACACGCAAACTTCATAAATGCAAGTGTATGACCAGCTTAGTAGGAATCAGCTTCAAGGTGCTATTTTGAAACAGATATACACTGTGGAGTGTCTGAGACAGAAGATTGAGGATACGAGAATGTGTAACAAGGATTCTGCTTAGATGGAGGGGTCTTCTGTGCTCTCTTCTGTGAGGGGCTTACAATCAAACTGCAGATGAAAAAGATGCCAAGAAGACCAATTAAAATGACTAAACACCTGATAAATCCATCCCTGTTTCTGTGGCCTGAGGAAGGCAAGGCTGAGCAACATCTGGAGAAGGTTAAGGGGATATTGTTGTGATGGCACCAAGGGGGATATATTTGGGATGATATCCTGTGCTTTACTGAAATGAGACAGAATACGTGAGAATGGACTTGATACTCTAACATAAGAAAGTTAGGTTAGATAGCAAAAGTAAAGACCTATGGCAAAAGCTGACAGATCAAAACACTTATTACATGGAATCTGTATGTATTTTTTGGCTGCACATGGAGAAAACCAGATAGTTAACTTAGTTCCATGTTTTAGTTTCCAGTCAGTGTGATGGACAAGATTTTTCTTCTTTCCACAGTCTTCTTTGATGAAGATCTCCCGAGGCTGGGTGCAATGGCTCACATCTGTAATCCCAGCACTTTGGAGGCTGAGGTAAGAGGATTACTTGAGCCCAGGAGTTTGAGACCAGCCTGGGCAACATAGTGAGACTTCATCTTTACAAAATAAATGAAATTTGCCAGGCATGGTGGTATGCGCCTGTAGTCCCAGCTACTCGAGAGGCTGAGGCGGGAGGACTGCCTGAGCCCAGGAGGTTGAGGCTGTGGTGAGCCAGGATTGTGCCACCGCACTCCAGCCTGGGCAACACAGTGAGACCCAGACTCAAAAAACAAAATAAAACAACAACAACAAAATCTCCTAAGACTACACTTAGCCTACATTTATCCCAATCAACACTACTGAAAAACAGCAAACTTTCCTCTTAAGAATACATGATTTTTAAATTGAGGTAAAATCCACATAACCTAAAATGAACCATTTAAAAATACACAATTCTGTGACTTTCAGGACATTTGCAATGTGGTACCATTGCCACTATCTGGTTTCAGAACATCTGCATCACCCCAAAGAGAAACTCCATATCCTTTAAGCAGTCACTATCCATTCCACTCTTTCCACTCTGAAAACAACTCCTATGGATTTGCCTTACGAGTATATTTCTTTTGCAGTCTTTTGAATTCTGCATTTTAAAACATTTTTTATTTTAAAGATGTGGGGTACATTTCAGGGTTAGGTATACAAATGCTTATTAGGCAGGTACCCTTGTTGATGAGGTGTGGCCCTCCCCCCCCACAGTTTCCCATTACTGCCAGAATTCTGCATTTAATTTTTCAATTAGAAACTGCAGACTACAGTGTGTAACTGTATTTGTGTGTGTGTGTGTGTGTGTGTGTGTGTGTGTGTGTGTGTGTGTTTGTGTGTGTATGTGAAAGAGAGAGGGAGGGAGGGACAGGGGCAGAGAAAGAGAGGGAGAGAGCAGGAGGGAAGGAGAGAAGGGGAGGAGGAAGGGTGGAGGGAGGAAGGGAGAGAGAAAGTGCTTGCAATGAGAGTAAGAAACTCTGCAAGGTCAAATTTACTTGAAATAATCAAGCAGAATGAAGACCTGGGTGGATCTTTCAGTTAAATGTCTGTAACTTAAAAGTAGGTGTCTGGACATAGCTTTCTCAAGGGTCCAGCCAGTCACAGGTTGTCGATATGTCGAATAGATTTTGAATTTGCCTGTAACATCAAGAAAAGGTTTTTGAATGGAAACGTGACTTTATAGCTCCTAAGTTACAGTAAAAAGTTTCCATCCAATAGAAGCTGTATCCTGGATCTGAGCTCTTCCTGTAATAGTTGGTGATAACCCTATTACTTTTTTCCTCAGAGCAGTGGAATAGTGACCATTCTCCACTCAGCCTTTGTCCTGGGGGGCACATCAGACACGGAGAAGTAAACTGAAGACGCCTGGTGGGTAAGTGAAAGAGCAATTTAAAAATAAAATAATGAAGCTCATTTTATTTCCCAGCCATAAAATAGTTTTTATCAACTTTGAATGAGAATATACATTTTATTCTGGCTGGAATTTTTAAAAAGTTGGTTAACTTAGCCACAAACTTCAAAAAATATTGAAAATAAACTGGGAAATTGTCTTTAGGGCATCTTTTTTTTTTTGTAAACTGACTTAAAACGTGCATGCCTCTCTTACTTATGATTATATTGGCAGGAAAGTTGTGTATTCTGTGTTCTGGAAAAAAATACATATGACTTTTGAAATAAATCTTAATATTCAACTGGTCAAATGTTCAAATTTTTTTTCAAAAGGAGGAAGAGTCAGTAAGGTCTTGTGATTTAAGTGGAACTTTGTAATCTAGAATGTCAAGGCCAGAAGGTTTCTGTCGTTTTGCAGAATTTTATTCTATTTTCGTTTTCAATTTCTTTCCATTTCATGAGCCCCAACTAATATATCTTGACTGTTCCCATTAATTAGGTTTTAAGATTTCTCTGCCAAAGCTCAAACACTCATTGGTTGTGATATTATAAATCTTGCTTGTTTTCTTTCCGGAATATCTTTCCTGCTTGCTTCCCTGTGTCTCCCATCTGTCCTTTATAATTTTCTTTCTGTTTAGACTTCTGAGGATTCCTTGGTGACCATGGAGAACAGACTCCATTTAACATTTTGAGGAATACGTTTCCTAAGGTGCAATTTCCACAAGTACTTTTCACACAGTACCTATGGTAAGTTGTTTTTAACCAACAGAACTTTTTTCAAGCCACCTGGAAGGTGAGAACAGCACAACACTCCTTCTTATGCATGTAATAAGTAGTGTAAAGTACTTGGAGGTCTAGTTGCTGAGATATGCTGCAGGAGGTGCAAACAATTATTACCCTTTGTGCCTTGCTTGGGGACCTATTAACACAATTCATCTCTAGCAGGAGACCGCCTTGGCGTGGAAGGGGTAGTTAATTTAGCAGTTTCCCCCGTTTTCTAGCTACCCCCCTAGTGTACTTTTATTCCACATTATACATGGCCTTATTCTGCAGCCTAAGGAGACAAACCAAAATGTCTCTGAATGAAGAGAAAACGTTAAAGTGTTGTGTGAAAGAAAGGAAAAACGTAGTTAGCAGCAGCGAACTGTAAACTCCCTATCTCTACCCTCCAGACCACCTTCCAACGGAATCCAGCAGCACCCACCCTAGACCTCTCGGGCTCCTGATTGAGAGTCCAGATACAGGCCATATCTTCGTGGGGCTCCCTTGGGCGTCAGTCCGGTCTGTTCTCAAGCTGTGGATCTGACTGGAGTTTCAATGTGTAGCATCCCCTCCCTGGGTTCAGAAGGGTAAGGCCACCGAATGGCAAAAGGGGCCGGCTTGCCCCAAGGGTTTCAGCACAGAAGGAGAAAAATGAAGTCACCCAAGCCATAAGTCTGGCGTCCTTTAGTCGTTCGCCTCCCCACCCTGGAGGCCACCGAATGGCTTCATCTGAAGAGGGACAGACCCAGGGACACAACTGGGATAACCGGTATTCCTGGTAAGCCTGTCACCTACAGGGCCTTTGGAGGCCAGGTGGGGAAGGGACGTGTGAGCAGGGCGGGGCGAGAGGGCACACAGGGAGAAGGACCGACGGGGAAGGGCTGGCTCGGGCTACTGTCTCCTCGTTGTGTCTGCAAGACGAATTTGCAGACCCCTTTTGGGGACTGGGGGCAGGTCTCTAACTCGTTGCGGGACTTCACCGTCCCAAGCTCGGAAGAGGGCTGGACTCTGACCTCGGCGCCCCTTTCCTGCGCTTTGATTCTGCTTCTTTGAGGGAAGCCCTGCTCTGCAGGCCGGGGAAGGAAAGACATTCTGTGCCGCAGGGGGGCCGGAATGGAAGGCCAGGAAGGCGGCCTCTGGGACATGAATTCTATTTATTTAGGTACCTCTGTTAAAAATTATTTTCGGCCGGACTCAGTGGCTCAAGCCTGTGCTCTCAGCGTTTTGGGAGGCCGAAGCGGGAGAATCGCTTGAGGTCAGGAGTTCCAGACCAGCCTAGGGTAGCATAGAGAGACCTCGTCTCTTGGGCAGCGTAGCGAGATCTCGTCTCTATTCGATAAAAGTTAATGAAATACTTTAAAACATGATTTTCGCTAAAAGAAAAAAAAAGGGAACCCCCACGCAAGCTCGGGCTGGCACGCTGCTTGGCGAGGCGGCCGGGCGAGGAGGCGCCCCTGGCGACACCTGCCACTCGGTTTTGCGCGCAAAACCCTCCCGGCGCC